TTACAAACCATAGCCAAATGCCCTGAACTTATAGCTCCCAGCCCATCTTCTGAATGGAAAGATCGTAACCATTCAAGGCCCTTTTGTAATGGTGAGTTCTGATACTTGCCAATGTGTTTCCTTCTGTTAACTGTATGAGTCCAGTCCCATCTTGAAGGCGCAGTCTAGTCCACCTCAGGGAGTATAAAGTCAGGTACAGACACTGAGTCGGGTCAGACTACCTGAGTTCAAATCTCTATCACCTTCTGTGTGACCTTGAACAAGTTATTGCTATGAATGACATTTGTTTTTATTTTTCTTTTAAGGGGAGAGGAGAGATGATAGCAAGATAATGAAATGTCAAGAGCTTATTTATTAGCACAGTGCCTGGCCCACAATAGCACTTGATAAATTTGAACTACTATTACTGAAAAGGGCAACTTTTTAGCCTAGGCAAAATACAAATATATTAATTTAGTTTACTGGGCATTCAATCTAAGATAAGCGGATCTGTTTCCTTCTTTTTTTTAATAGATTTTTTGAGAGAGAGGTGGAGTATGTGTGTGTGTGTGTGAGAGAGAGAGAGAGAGACATCGATTTGTTGTTCCATTTATTTATGCATTCACTGGATGACTCTTACATGTGCCCTGACCCCGGATGGAACCCACAACATTGGCATATCCGGGACAACACTCTAATCAAACAAGCCACCCGGCCAGTGCTGTTACCTTCTTAAAAATAAATTACATGCCTGGACTTTTCAAGCCAATGCTGTCTGTGCCAAGCTAACACCCCAAACATACTTCCAGGAGTAAATCTTAGGTCTGCAGTTTAGTATTCCCCTTAGTCCATCTCTGTGGGAAGGTTAAGTGACTTTCATTTAATTTAAACATTTGTCCTTGTCAGAGTCCTCCATCCTCATACCCCCCCACCCCCACCAACTTGATAAGCATGCCTGCTAAAAATATGGCTCTACGATTAACCAGTAATATAAAAAGTAGATATACTCAAAAAACTTGTCAGGAAGCACAAACTCAAATCCCACCAATGATAAATTCTTAACAAAAGTTCCACTGAGAAACAAGATATTTATGGAAGGTAACTGAAAGAATGTGCAATCCCCATCTACTTATCTAGATAATCTAAAACAGGTCCTTACATTACTGGTAAATCAGTCTAGAGTTCTAAGCACTTAGACCACATTATTTTGCCAGCACTGGAAGGAACTGCCTTTACTGAATTATGTTTTGATATTATGTCATCAACCTACACAAGAAGACAATGAAGAATTTTACTGGAAAACAACGTAAAACACAACACAGTCCTTTGAAATGCATGGTGTATCTCCTTAAGGATGTATTTGAGTTTCTCAATACAAGGAGTCTTTGGGAATCCTAAGGAAGAAATTAGTGTTTTCTCTTATGGTCACTGAACCATAACTGATTATACACGGTGGGGCAAAAACAGGTTTACAGTTGTTCGTACAGAAAATAATACAATAATTAGCAAATAATAATACAATAAACTCTGTGTTTTGCATCCTCACAACTGTAAACCAACCTTTGTCTTACCCTGTACTTCTCTCTGAACTGGCTACTAAAAAGCAGAGTCAAATATGTGATCCTCCAACAAATACTTATGACTTCAGTCCACGTACTTTGTGTACAGGGCTTTTTCCTGTTTCCATCTTAAGCTTTCTCCCTCAGTCCTGAAGTAGCCAGCCCTTATTTCTGTATGTTACCAACAATATGCCACATGTATCTTTATAAGTTGTTATGAATCCTTTCTGGAATAAGCTATGATATAAGTAAATGATATGCTCCAGTTAAAAAACATTATAGTACAATAAAATATTTTCATCCATTAATAAACATTTTATAAGTTCAATTTCTAAAGGCATTATTTTTGTGCTTCAAAAGAAATAAAATCTTTTACCAAATATTATACCTAAAATTAGCAAATTCTAACAACAAAGGAAATACAAAAATAAAACACTTTCATTATGTACGTGTATTTTTAACATTGAGGCACACGGAATATTATAAATATATCCTTGTGTAAAAATCCCCTAAACTCATTTTTTTAATTTAAAGTACAGAACAAATCACCATAAATGTACTATATAGTTGATTATTTATTCTGAATGCAAACTTACTAGACTTGCTTCAAAAATGATTCGTAAGATTTTCGTACAACTCCTTCTGAGTTGCCCTGTGCTGAGCACTGAGAGTGCTGCCAACTGCTCCTTAGTGTGAGGCAGCACAGAATTTAGGGCCCTAAAGGCTCTTCCTACATGCCCGATTCAGACATGTCAGCAATCTCCTTGCTGTCATGCAAGGAAAATAAACAGCTCAGGACTCTCTTAGTGCATAAAAAACTTGCACATTCATGAACTCACACTTGTCATTTGGATCAAAGCTTCTGGCTTTTAACTTCATATATATCTAATTAATTGACTATAATTACAGTTCTTCAGCTAACAGAAACATGAAAAAAATGTTCACTATATTAAAAAAAAAATGACACTTTCTGGCCAGACAGCAACTTTGTCAAAAGCAGGAATCTCACTGGGTAATCTGAAAGCAGCACCATAAATGCACAGCCTTTCCTGAAAGCATGTTAGCCTTACCCAAATACCAAGCAGATAAAATATGAGTTACATAATATTAAGTGTTTATTCCTGAGTGTTTATTCAATAAGTCTAGCTTATTATATCAAGGTATTTCACACATATGAAACAACACAATATTTCTACAGTGCTTTATGAAAGAAATGAGCATTTAATTCAAATGAGCATTTGAAAGACTTTCAAAATGTTTAGCCTCTATTGTGAAACTTGTTTTTAGTGTGATAACTTTATTTAGGGGGTAAGAAGCCATTAATAACATTTCTATTCTGAGTCACAGAACAGACAGGTATTATATTATGCAGGCATTGCCTGAATTTTAGGGATGGGTCATCTCTGCCGGAGATGTTTACCCTGCAACCAATAAAAACCCATGTGCCAAAAATCAAACTCACACTGTCAAGACTGAAATTCTATGTCTCTGACCAGAGACTGACACAGTAAATCAAATAGGATCTTAGTTCTTCAGTATGTAGATATTAAAATAAGTTAAGTACTGATTGTAATTTTCCCACTGAACAATAACATCAGAAATCAATGATTTCTCACCAAGTCAACAGGTACTCATGCAACGTCTCTGAATGCCCAACTTGGATTTAGAATAGAAAGAGGTAAAAGCAGAATAGAATTCCTGTTTACAGAAGCTTAAAAATTAGCAGGGGCAGTCACTCATACATAAAGAATAAATGAATATGCAATTTAACTCAAACATTTAACAAGCAGAAAAGATTAAAATACAAGATAGCAAACACTATTGGGCACAATCCTCACCAGACACATAGCAGCCTGTGTGTTAAGATCTACATAAAATTCCTTTTTAACTACACAATAACCCTCTCTAAAACCCTTCCCTGGTTCTGTCATCATCAGATAAAGGGCCAAGCTCCAGAATCTCTGCCCCTATCTGTCACCATGCTCTGTCCTCACTTTTTCACTTTTCAAAAACCACCTCCAAGTAGCCATTAGCCTCTTTTCCACCAGTTGCCCCACCCCCACATTCCCGCCCCACTTAGTTAATCTGAATGTTACTCATTCTTCCTGATACTCCCAGAAAGGTATTCCCTGATATCTTTCTTCACCTTCACACACTGCAGTCTCTCGGGGTGAGGGGGGCCACTTAAGGTGCTCTAACTTAGCTCACACTATTTACCACCTTGTATTCAAACTATTTTTGCAGTCTGTCTCTCTCTCCCCTCTTCCCTTCCAGTGTCCCTTCCTCCCCCTCTTTTCCCTTCCCTTCTAAGTTGGCTAACTTCTAGAGAGACGAAACATGATTGCATCGAAGGTTAGTAAAAATTCAGATCCTGAACACTTCTTAATATTCCGCAGAAGAACTAGTAACTCTTAAATGTTAATGTTATTTATTAAATGAACTAATGATGTAATCAAATCTTGCACCTCTGGCAGGCTTTCTTGACACAACTCCTTTAATTAATAGACTTTAAGAAGTTCTGAGTTTACTGAAAAAAGTACAACTATTTTTCTTCTCAAAAAACAAAACTCAAAGAAAAAGAGGTCGAGAGCAAGCTCCCCAGGTGGTGCTGTAAACTCGTACTGGCAAGTTTTCACATCTAATCTCAAGGACAACAGAGCCCAACAGAGCCCACCAGCGCCCACGGACGCACTTCCCAAACACCGGGCTTGGTCACCAGCGCTGAGACACCACCGGCTGTCTATGACCTACTCTCTAAAGCGGCTCCGTCCCTCCCTCCCTCCCTCCCTCCTAAGCTTCCGTAAAGGGCATCACCTCTGCTTTCCTCCAAGACAGTTTGGAAGCAGGGACTTCTGCTCCTAACCACAGGTCCTCAACGACGGGACGAAAGTTAGATAGGACCAGTCTTCGAGTCTCGGCGCCACAAAAGTCACCACTCCCCCACTCCGAGAGGTATCCCTCCCCAAGAACCACACGGGCTCGTGAAGTGCCGGCTCCCTGCCATCGCCGGACTGCGAAATGGGTCTAAGCTTTCATCCAAACGAATGCCCAAGGGCCCCAGGGCACGACACGACCCGCCGCCACTACAGGTGCCCCTTCTGACTCCGCGGACTGGAGAGTGAGGAGGCAGCCGGCCAGAGGGAAGCCAACCTGCAAGCGGATGACCAGTGGCAGGAGGCGGCCAGGAAATGATAGGCGTCTGTCGGAGTTGGGTTGGGCCGTGGACAACTTGGCGACGAGAGCCAGACACCAACAGGCTCAGCACTAAGAGGATTAAGGGGACCAACCAGGGCCGCGCTGCCGGGCCCGGGGTGGGACGGAGGACTACGGATTCCGAAGCGAAACGGCCCGGCCGGGTGGACGGCACGGACAAATGACCAAAAGCCCCTGCCCGGTCGGCACCGCCCACAGCCCAGAGTCAAGAGCAGCGCTGTCCTCGGTCCCCATCCGTCAGTTCCATACCTCGTCCGCGGAACCACCGGCGTCGAGATCGCCGCTCTCCCCGCGTCGTTCGAGTTAGTCCGGGCTCCGCCAGTCCACGGCCCGCCCTCACACCGGCCCACCCTCTCTCACGCCCCGCCTCCGGCGCCGTGAGCTCACGTCACGCACGCACAAACGTCACTTCCGGGGCCCTGGACTTTCAGTGGGAGGTTACCCTTGCTAGTTCCTGTGGAATCTGCGCTGGGTGGGGCGAGGCTCGGGTGGGGCGAGTCTCAGCTGAGCCGCGAATGGTAGATTGCACTGGTAATGCCGAAGGACCAAGTGGAAGTGGCGGCCTGGGACGCTGACCTGGAGCGTCCGGGAGCCAGCGGAGAAACCGGCGTTTCTCTGTCCTTGCTTCTGGGATCCCACTTGCAATAGCGTGAGGACAATTGCCCGCGCCTGGGTTGCTGAAGTAACGTGGAATGGGAGGCGCGAGGCTGTAAAGGCTCGGGAGACGAGTATTTGGCCCAGATTGTGCCATCCCATAGGGTGTGAAGAATTCCATCCCTTCAGGGATCTTAGGCTTTTAAAAGTGATCAAATTAAAGGACCTTGAAGAGATTGGTTGACCTAGAAGCTGTTTTTTAATACTTGAGCATAAGTGAGACTAAAAGTTAAGTAATGGTCGAGTCATAAACGCAATCTAGTTCGTGTAATTCCTATTTTAGGAATGTTGTGTTGGAAAACAAAATTCAAACGAGTAAAATTCAAATATCTAATTTGCTTTATTAAGTGGTCCATGGGTAGGGCAGTATCTTATCTAGCTAACAACTAGAAAGGTGTTCTGAGGGGTTGTATAAAACGGAAGGATTTTATAGGAAAAATGGTGGATGGAACAGCGGCGCTATTAACAAAAGAAAAGACAGGATTATTTGGGGGCCTGTACATCTTTGGGGAAAGAGAATGAGAAGAGTTTTTATCATTAAGATTCCCTCTTCTTTCTATAAGGGATGGGGAGGGCCCTTGTGACAGATTACCATACTGTTGCTGGACCAGAAAATTTTAGACCAGATAATTGTTTCTGGGAGAGGTTGATACTGCAATTACATCAAGCAGACATTAAATCTAGTTTGGTATCATGGGCTTTTAGGACAAATGACATTATATTGGGTCTGTGGTTTTTACTTTTAATAGTTGGAAACAGCAGCTGCCTTTGTATCCTGTATCAAACGAACTCAAAAAGAGTCTGGAGCCTTTGGTTAGATAGATTTATTCAAGGGTCTTAGGGTTTGCAAATGGATACACAGTGAGGCAATACCCAAAGTGTTTTGTAGAAGAAAGAAAGACTATGAGTTCTTATAACAAAAAGGTACATTGAGAAGAATCAGTCCTGCATTCTTAGCATTTGGATTGACCTGAGGTGGAAATCCTCTAGATGACTGGTAGTCTGAGTGATGGATGTCAGGTAGTCAGGATACATGACATTCTTTCCTTAGTCCAGGGGGTAATCAGAGGGTTATCTAAAGGTTCAATGTATGTCCACCCATTAACTGGGAAGCTCAAAAGTTTAAGTTCCCAGGCTAGTTATGCCAAGGGGCACCCAGGGAAGCCAAGGTGTAATGGGGTGCACCAGGCCTACCCCCAAAGAGGGGTTTTGTAACAGGGTCCGGAACTTGGGATGTCCAAGAATATAGAATATCCCCACCCCCAAAAGTCTGTCTGGTTGGGGGATGGGACACATGGAGCAGGGCCACTGAGAGTTATTTTGCATATCAATAATTACAGGCCAGCTTTATACCTGCTATGCAAAAGTGGTTATTTTGTGTATCCATAATAGACTAGTCTTCCAGCCTGAATAGAAACAGAAGGTATACATAACTTTGACCCATGGCAAAACTGGGAGACAGGTCCCCCTGGTTACAGCGCCTGTGTGAGAGCTTGGAGATGGTTCCCTCCACGCCACAGGGCCATGCCTGCCAGGACTTACCTTGACAGCCCATAAAGGCTGAAAATGGGAGAGTGCTCGCTGGTGTAGCCAGTTGTGGGAGGAGTCAGAAATGGGGTTAGAGAGGAGGTTCCAGTCTGGGATTTATACCCAGGTGCAGCAGCTGTGTTGGATCTTAACCACAAGGTTCTGGGCACAGAGAGGATACCCACTTGACCATGTGGCTTAGGAAGCAGGAAAGCAAGAGGTAGCAGCCATTCAGAGCTCTCTCTTAGCAATTTGAAAGAATGCAGGAGAGACAATGCAGGACAATGGGAAACCATGCTAGAAGAAAAGGGGTGAAAGGACTCTTGCTAGTGGGCCATGAGGAGGTGCCATGTGGTTTTGGATTAAGAACTAGAGATCGCAGCAACACGGCTGATGGTGCTGGGATGGCGGGAGACCTGCCAGCCAAGCACAGATTATTGGGAGGAACCGGGAGTCTAGATGAGCTGCAGACTTCTATTTCTTTTTCCTGAGAAAGGATACCCTTGACTGGCCTGGTTGGACAAGGGGAAGGTAGGACTGTGTATGTGTGTTTGTGGGTGTTTTGAAAGAACTTTGGGATTTTTAATGGGGACATTCTGCCATTACTCTAAACCTGTCTAACTTGGAACAAATAGTTCCTTCCCTTTTCACCAAACTCTGGCATTGAGAGCCATAATTCCTAATACACGGTGGCAGGCAAAGAACCCACAGTGACAGAGGGACCTCGGGGGAGGGGGCTTATTTCAATAACAGTACCTGGGCCCCCACCACAGGTTCTTTTCTGTCACAAGGGGAGGCCTCCACTGACCCAGGTCCTTGTCACAGAACAAGAAAGAATTCAAGAACATGAGTGTGACAGATTTATCAAAGCACAGTACATTTATTAAAGCCATAGTACGCACTTGAGAAGAGCAGGCAGTCTTGGAGAATGAGACATGTTGGGTGATGGGGTATGAGTGGAAGGTTTTTATTACACATGGTTGAGAGAAGATAGGGCAGTCCTCTGCTTCTGACACTGGTGGGGTGACTGCCTATGCCCCTCATCCTTGTCCCTTCTCTGCAGATATCAATTTGTGGGGGGTGGGGAGAGGTTCCTCTCAATTACAAGAAACTGAGGAGGAGAAAGCAGGGGAACAAGTGGTCAGTGAAGGTTGTGTCTGTGATGTTCTAGCTAAAATGGAGAAGGGGAGGGGCAGAGCTTGAGACCTTTATTCCCTGTTTTAACTTTACTGCCTCAGTTAAAACAACCATTTACTCATGCCTCAACCTACTTGATTTTAGTAATTTAGCAGCTTGACTATAGTGACTCGATTTTATTTCTTCCCTCCATTTCTCACCTGGATGCTATCTATGGCATAAAGTACAGTCACAATAGGAAAAAGAAGGGAGGGAGGAGGGAGGAAAGACAAGAAAAGAAAGAAGAAAGTAAAGAAAGTAGGGAAGGAAGGAAGAACCTTGTCTTGGAGATAGTCCTGGGTTGGAATCCCATCTTTGCTAAATTCTGGGATTCTGGTGCTTTGACATCTGGGGTCTTGCTGACTCTGGAGAGACTGCCCCACCCCCAACCCCTAGCATTACCAATTCCTAGTAATAGTAAACAACTTGCCACCCAGCATGCTTTCAAATGCAAACCAAGGAACCCAGAGTTCACACCCACAGCCAGTCCTTTCTTGGGTGCTCATACCCCAGGACACCAGCCACCCCAGGAGCAGGTACCAGACAACTGGGACAACCCCTCTGCCCCAGAGCTTGCTGAAATTATTTTGAATAGCCAATCCTAAACCCCTCTATCCCGCCTCACCCCTTCCTTCCATGGAAACCACAATAAAGGCTCTTGCCCACCCATCCCCCCCCATTTTGACCAACCTTGATCATTATTTGCAAACTGGAGATTGACCAGTTCCTCAAATTCTTCCTAAACACTGGAGGGTAGCAGAATATATCTCCCCAAAATATACCTCTTTAGCATAAGTTTCAGATGCTCTGAAAACAAACTAGAAGTTATCCTTTCATAAGAGAATATGTACTTATAAAGGAAATCTCCATTTATAAAGGTGTCTCCTCTGTAACTAGAAGAGGATGGCTCTAAATCACAAGAGACTCATCAAAGTGATGACAAAAGAGGGCAGATAGCTAGCATTTGGGTTGTGTCCTTTTGAAATTTCTGCGTATGTTCTTGATAAGCACTATCTGGTGATGAGCCTTGACCAGAGGAAAAAGAGAACCAAAACCTTAAGACCAACTATGAAGTCTTTGAGAAGACTACTAAGGAGCTGAGAATTAAGTACACCTTTCCCTCTCTAGCACCAAAAAGCCACCACTGCTGGGTGAACAAGAAGAAACAAGAAGGGGCAGTGCACTGGGGTTTTCCAGGAGACTCAAAAGCTGAAGAAATAAGAAAAGGGACTTAAAAGCCACAGCAGCCTGGAAACAAGGCCAGACAAATGCAGAGAGCCCTCCCAAAGGTGGGGCAGAGGGAATCAAGGAAAACCAGTAAGTCTTGTTAAAGTTAAAAAAAAAAAAAAAGCAAGAGGAAAACTAAAAAAGGAGTATTATAGAAGCCAAGGGAGAAAGAAAGCCAAGGGGTTGGTTAAAAGAGATTCCATAGAAAGCTTAGATATGATGAATCTACCCAACAAAAATGAAAACATCAATTGAAGTGGTGAAAACACCCTTGTCTTGTTCCTGGTCTTAGTGAAAAAACTTTGTCTTTAACCATTGAGTATGATGTTACCTGTGGGTTTTTTATATATAAACTGTATCATGTTGAGGTAGTTCCCTGCTATTCCTAGTTTATGGGGTATTTTCATCATGAAAGGGTATGAAATTTTTTTAAAGTTAATTTACTTTTTTATTGTAAAATATATATAATTTTATAATGATATATATTATATATTATATATAACTTATATAATATATATAAGATTTACCTGCAAAAGAATGAAGTTTGTCTCTTGTCTAACACCATGTACAAAAATAAAATAGATCAAAGACCTAAATGTGAGCGATAAAATTTAGAATAAAACACAAGAAATTATTTGGCAATAATTGCTTAGATATGGCAGCAAAGGCATAGTTAATAAAAGAAAAAAACAGACATGTTGGATTTACCAAGATTAAAAAGTTTTGTGCCTCAAAGGCCACAATCCACAGAGGAAAAAGGCAACTCACAGAATCTCAGAATAGAACAAAGAATTTGCAAATCACCTATCTGCTATGAGAAAGTTATCCAGGTTATATAGAGAACTCCTAAAACTCCACAGCAAATGCAGGTTCCATAAGATGTCTTTCCATTTTTTTACTTCTTTAAGAAATGTTCAGTAGTTTTCAGTGTACAAATCGTTCACTTTAATTCCTAAGTACTTTATTCTTTTTGATACTATTGTAAAGGGAATTTTTTTATTTCCGTTTCAGATTGTTTGTTGTTAGTGTATAGAAATGCAACTGATTTTTGTGTGTTGCTTTGTATCTTGCTATTTTCCTGCATTTATTAGTTCTAACAGTTTATTCTGTGTGTGTAGAATCCTAAGGGTTTTCTACATAGATTATATTATCTTTGAACACAGATAATTTTATTCCTAATTTGGATGCCTTTTTTTCCTTGCCTAGTTGCTCTGGCTAGGACTTCCAGTACTATGTTAAATAGAATGGGCAAAAATGGGCAACCTTTTCTTGTTCCCGATTTTAGTAGGAAAGCTTTCAGTCTTTCACCACTGAGAATAATGTTAGCTGTGGGTTTTTCATTTGTGTCTTTCTTAGGAGGTAGTTTCCCTCAGTTCCTAGTTTGTTGAGAACTGTAGTCAAGCTGCTAAATTACTAAAATCAAGTAGGTTGAGGCATGAGGAAATGATTCTATTGTTCTAACTGAGGCAGGAAACTTAGAACCTGGAAGAAAGGCCTCAACCTCTACCCATCCCTTTCTCAGTCAGTCTAGCTAAAGATTTGTCAATTTTACTGTCCTTTTATTTTTTTTTTTTAGATTTTTATTTATTTATTTTTAGAGGGGAAGGGAGAGAGGGGGGGAAGAAACATCAGTGTGTGTGTGTTTGCCTCTTGTGCGCCCCCTACTGGGGACCTGGCCTGCACATGCCCTGACCTGGAATCGAACCCATGACCCTTTGGTTTGCAGGCTGGTACTCAATCCACTGAGCCACACTAGCCAGGGGTGTCAGTTTTGTTGACCTTTTAAAGAACTAAGTTTTAGTTTTGATGATTTTCTATATTCTCTTGTTTTCCTATTCTGATTTCATATATCTCCTCTCTAATCCTTATTTCCTTCATCTAGCTTTGGTTCAGTTTTCTCTTCTAATTCCTTTAAGATATATAGTGAGGTTATTGATTTAGGATCTTTTTTATTTGAGATCTTTTTTAATGCACTGTTTTCACTGCATTCCTTAGGTTTTGTATATTGTTTTTATTTTCATATTTCTCAAAGTATTTTCTAACTTCCCATGTGATTTCTTCTTTGACCATTGGTTGTTTAACAGCCTATTTTTTAATCTCCACATTTTTGTGAATTTTTCTTGTGTAACTGATTTCTAGTTTCATTCCATTGTGATTAGAATAGATTTTGATTTCAGTCTTTCAAAATTTAAGACTTGTTTTGTGGCCTAACAAATGTAGCCTGGACAGTGTTCTCTGTACACTTGAGGAGAATGTATAATCCATTATTGTTGGGTAAAGTATTCTACACGTTTGTTAGGTCTGATTGGATTATAGGGTCGCTCAACTACTCTCTCCTTATTAATCTGGTCTCTGGTTCTAGTTACTATTGAAAGTAGGATAGTAAAGTCTCCAACTATTATCATAGAAATATCAATTTCTCCCTTAATTCTGTCCCTTATGGCTCTGTTGTATGTGTATATATACTTATAATTGTAATATCATCCTTGGATTTGGTTCTTTTCAGTATTTAATGTCCTTCTTGTCTCATACCATTTTATATAAAATCTGTTCTGTCTAGTAATATAGCCACCTCAGCTGTCCTTCAATGTTTGCATGGATTTTTTTCATCCTCTTACTTTCAACTCCTTTGTAACTTTGTATCTAAAGTGAATCAGACAGCCTATAGATGGAACTTTTTAGAAAATACATTCTGCCAATATCTGGCTTTTAATTGGAAGTAATTGATAATAAAATTAATTAATAATTCTTTATTTCTGCCATTTTGCCACTTGTTTCTTATGTGCCTTATCTGTTTTTGTTCCTCAATTCACCCATTACTGAATTTTTGGGTATTCAGTTGTATATCTGTAGCCTACCATTTTGATTGCCTTCTTTCATTTTTGTGTATATTTAGTGGTTACCTTGGTTTGTCTGATGTTTTTTCATGATTAGACCCAGGTTATTCATTTTTGACCAAAACAAAAAAATCACAGAAATAATGTTGTGTCCTCAGGGCAAGATAGGTGGTGCCCATGACGTTGGTGTGTCCCATTTGGCTAATGTTGACTTCAGTTACATGATTAAGTTTGAGTCTTTCAGGTGTCTACACTTTAAAGTTACTATTTTTACCTTTGTAATTAATTAGTGGTTTGTATGGGAATACTTTGACACTATGTAAATACCCTGTTTTTCTTTAAAATTTTACCAATTAGCTTTAAAATCCATTGATGATTCTTAACTAAATTAGTTAGTCATAAGGGTTGCTAGACAGTGGATATTTTCTAACCCTGTCATTCCTTCTGTATTTCTTAGCTGAGATTTTACTCTAATTAAGAATTTTCTTTTCTACCTGTTTTTATAATTACTTGTGTAAAAATTAATACATGTATTCTTATTTTATTCGGTGGGTTATAATACATTACTATAGTTTCAAACTGTAATGTGTGCCTAAGACAGGAATTTTAACTTTATACAATATTGAGTCATTATTCCTAGCAGCAACTAGATTGGATGAATTCCACTCACATGGCAAGTAATCTGCTTTACTCAGAGGCCACTGATTGAATGTAAATCTCATGTAAAAATACTGTTACACAAACATCCAGAATAGTGTTTGACCAAGTATCTGAGTACCATGACCCAACTAAGTTGAAACAAAATTATCCATCATAGACCTGACTGGTGTGGCTCAGTGGATTGGGCATCATCCTGCAAACCTAAAGGTCACTGGTTTGATTCCCAATCAGGGCATCTGTCTGGGTTGTGAGCCAGGTCCCCGGGTGGGAGGGTGTGAGAGGCAACTGATCTATGTTTCTCTCAAACATTGATGTTTCTCTTTCTTTCTTTCTCCTTCCCTTCCCCTCTCTAAAAATAAATAAATAAAATCTTCAAAAAAATTAACCACACAACTATATCCATTACCAACTTGACACCCATATGCATCTCTGTAAATCATACTTAATCTCCATATTTAATCTCTTTATCTGGTGGGGTGACCCAAACTTTCATTCATGAAGGGCGATTAGTTATCCTGCCCACATGGAGTTGTAGTTTTCCACTGACTTTAATCACAAGACATGGTAACACTAAGATGCCCTAGGTCTCCTGTCCATATACTGGCAAGTCATTTGACAGACCTTGAATGAGCACTTTTCCAGGTGGTTTTAAGCATTGGGATAAAGTTGTGAATAGAGACAAAATCTCTGCCCTCAGGGAGCTTTTTTTATTAAACCCTTGCCTGAGGAAATGTTTAATTGATTTGAGTAAGAGGAAGGAAGAGAAAAATCAATTGCTTCCCATATGTGCCCCAACTGAGGATCGTACCTGCAACCTAGGTATGTGCTCTGACCAGGAATTGAACCTGCAACCTTTTGGTGTACAGGAGGATGCTTCAAGTAACTGAGCCACCTGGCCAGAGCTCAGGAAGCTTATTTGAAAGGAAATAGACATAAGCAAAAAATACTATTGATGTCACTGAGTATGTAACATGTAAATTTGTGAATGATTTCAAAATACATCCTGAAGGTGGATTCAAGTACTTGGTGATGGATTGCAAGTAGTAGGTGAGGTAAGGAGGGGAGTCAAAGATGATGCTCAAGTTTTCCTTGACTGGATGGATGGTGGTGACATTTCTTGAGACAGAAGATGAAATGAGGAAGATATTTGGGGAGGGGAGGGGAAATAAGGAATTCCACCTGGATGTACTAAGTTTGAGGTGGCTAACATATTTCAGTGGCAGTATTGAGCAGGTCATTAGGTGCATAATTTGAGGCAGAGGAAAGAAGGCTGGGCAGGAGTATAACTTGGTATTTGTCTGCATATAGATGATGTACCAGTTATTGTCTCTTAGCTCCACTTCATCATCTCAGCAAAAAATGGGTTGGGACCTTTGAAAATGTTTCCTTTGCCAATGAACATATTAAACCTTGGTTAGTAGAGACCACTGGTGAAAGATTGCAAGAGGGAAGATATCTTCCTTTTTGGTTCAGGTGTGCTTGCTCAGAGCTTCTCCAGCACCCAGCTCCTGCAGTGTGTGCTTGTCAGCACAAAGAGGCCAACAGCTTGCCCCAGCTCTCCCCTTGGGTTTTTTAGTGGAGTGCCTCTGGCAAGACAGTTCCCATGAACAGATTTCCCCCACACCCTCCAGGGTAGTTTTCCAGCACGTTCCAACAGCACAGCACTCCCTGTGACTTTTCTGCCATTCAGTGAGCCATGGTCATGCCCTCTCCAAAGAGGTCTGAATGTCAGCTCGGGGTGTTCTTTCCTGGATCCTCTATCTCAGCCCTAAGGGTAGTGTCTGTTTCTTATATGTGCTACTCCTATATTCTTTATAGTTTTCGCTACTCTTCATTAGTGAATTCATCGTTACTCCAATACCATTATAATTGTTCTTTATAATGAAGACATAAATTGTTCAAATTAGTGAGCTGTTTTTTTACTCCTAATACAAATAACTCTAAATACAATTCAGGCAAGATCACCCAAGGAGACACAATAGATTGATATCTTGGATGTAAAGTACCAAGAAGTCTCTAGGTTATTTTTCCATTTTGAATGGGTGAGGAAGTAAAGACACATGTGAGATGAAAATAAGGTGGATCAGGAGCATGCAAGTAGTTTGTTCTCCTGGCACACCACTCGGCCACTGTAGGAGGATACAATTACTTTTTGTATCCACCTTCAGAAGCTTGGTTTTGGCTGGCCTCTGCTGCCGGTGAGTCCTGCCTGCAGTTTGCAGTGGCTTCTCTCTGTCAGCTACAACCAAAGCAGGAATTCCTCTGCTGGCTTCTTGGGCTCTGGCATATGTAATGAAGCATCTTCTGAAGTCAAAATGTTTGAAACACATAGCCAGCCTTCACTGTGTGGACCAAGCTTCCAGTTTTACCTTGACAGCTCCAGGCTGTTGTAAACAGACATCCCTGAAGGGGTTCTTTCAGATGTTGCCTCTAGACCTTGAATCTGTTGATATTGCAACTCTTAGATCCACAAGCGTTGTTGGTCTTGGCCAGTACCAGCATCAAGATGTGTTGTAGAAACAAGGGACAGACATTGTCTATGCTTGTGCCTCCTTGTGACAATACCAAGGTGTTGAAGGTGCCATGGTGGTGTAAGACCAGGGTAGGAGAAAAGATGCGCAGGGTTTGCAGCTATTGGAATGCTGGGTCCTTAGTGAGGGAGGATCGGGGAACCCACCTCCTAAAACGACAGAATGGTCAGGTGAGGAAGCTGAGGGTCATGAACCAGTACTGCCTATAAGACCCAGAAACCGGAAAAGCCTTTCACCTAAATGACACTCTTGTGTCATACCTTGGTTGGACTTATCTGGGAATTCCACATCCGACCTTAATCCACAAATTCAGGTTAACCCTTGGGTGCTGCTGCCAAAAAGCGATCAGGATAGTCATCCCAACAGGGAAGTCACTGACAAGGGTTCAGAATCGGATGGTAAATCCCACCCCATGGTATTCTCCGGGCTAAAGGCCCAGCTAAGGGAAGTGGTGGAATATTCCTGCAGGTGACTACAGAGCGGACTCAGTGTTCTATCTCTCTGGACCAGTGGGTTTCCAAATAACGCTGCACTTTGAAGAATAATGTTAGGCAGTTGGGTGGAACATTCCCTGAATATGCCTGGAAGCAGATACATTCTGTCTTGATGTGGGAGTGCTAAGTGAATAATGCCACCCTCATTTCAGCTAAGAGTGATGTGGTCAGCCACCAGGGAAGTTCGTATTTTTGTTAGGTAAACTCAGTTTTTGGGTAAAATACTTCAGTTCCCTGCTCCTGGGGTGGAGGAGGGTGAAACCAACTTGTCTGCTCAGTGAGTCCTGTGGGTATCCTCTACTGCACCTGTGGAGGTGGATACAGAGCTTAGAGAGGGGCTAAGAATGCTCTCTGAAACCTAGCAGGCCAGATGAGAAAGCTGAAATGGAAGGCCAGGGATCCCAGTGCAAAAAGCACTTACTCACCTGAGAATAAGAGGCACAGGGTCTCTGCCACAGCTGGCTACCAGACGCTAATGATACATGCTGGAAGTGGCCAATCAGCTATGACATGCTGAAGACAGGGCAGTCAGGAGCAGAGGGAGGAGGTGGAAATGACGTTGTGTGAGAAGGGGAAGCAAGTACCCACAACGTGCACATGCAGAGTGGGCCCCTGGGCAGACAATTAGCCAAGGTGCAGCTGGCAATCAGGTGTAATGCTGAGAAACACACTGATAAAGGCATGTATAGAGGTTGATATACACTTAAGCCCACTCATGACACCATCCCACTCCCTTTACAAAAATGACAAAGGTGTAAGATTTGACCCAACTTGTAAGTTTCTTCTAATGGACGTCAAGCTCCAAGTTTTGTGGTATGTTGGGGTTTTATTTCTTGATTTTAGTAATAACTAAAAGAAGTATGGGCATGTTTATTCCAAAGATCTGCCAGAGCCGGGTCACCTGGTAAGATCCATGACACAGAAAACATCAGGGTCTGTAATACATTAGATGTCTCTGAAGGTCATGGCTTGAAGGGTGTAAATCAGGCTGCTACTGAGATCCCAGAATGCTAGAAAATGTGCATCATAACCTGACTGTGGGACCCCTTGTGAAGTGTTTCTGGATAGCTCAAGATGGTTCAATCCAAAGTCTTCCTCGCAGCTGTGTTGGAATTCTTCCTGGTACACAACAGTCCTCTTCCTGTTAGGTGGTTCAAGGAGGTGAAATATCTGATCATGTCAAGTGTGTGAGGGAGAAGTCCTTAGTGGCCCCCCAAATGGAAATGCCCTGTTCCTAAGGCTGCATTTACTGCAATTTTGTGTAGAGGGTGAGGGGACATTTTGGAGGGAAAGGTAAAAATTTGATAATAGCCCTGTCCATTTTTCCTTGTATTTAGATTTTAGAAGATATTCCTCTAAAGGGAAAAAGGAAGTACCTAATGTTCACAGCTAGTAAGATCACTGTAGAAATGACTAGAGAAGGGGGGAAAAAAAGCACATAATTACTCTTGCTCTGAACAAGAGCTACCTTCATTGGCATCCTATTTGTACATGTATTTCACTTAGAAGTTATGTTAGAAATAAAGTTTAGTAAAATAAATCAAAGAAAGACAAATATCATAGCATTTCACTTATGTGGAATCTAGAAAACTGAATGAACAAAACAGAAACAAACTCACAGACAGAACAAATGGTTGCCATATGGGAAGAAGGGTGAGGGTGGAGTGGAGAAGCGGAAGGGATTAAGAAGTACCTATTGTCAGCTGCCAAATAGTCACAGGGATGTAAAATGCAGCTGAGGAAGTGTGATCACTGACATTGTAACTACACATGGTGTCAGGTGGGTGCCAGACTTCCTGAGGATCACTTCATAAGGTGCATAACTATCTAACCACTATGTTGTACACCTGAAACTAATATAATATTGAATGGCAACTATAAGAATTTTTTTTTAAAAAGCGTAAGCATAAACCTTGACTTTAAAAAAAGTTTAAAATTGTTTCAAAAATAGAGAAAACTAACGTACATGATGGGAGAAACACAATAGTAAGGAGTCAAAGGACATCAAGTTAAGTAAGAGGCAAAGGAACAGGCTGTAAGTGAAGCAGAGCAAAACAAAAAAGTGTGTAAAGCCAGCTAAAAGGTCATCATCTTCAAAATGACAACAAAGGACACACAGGCACCTGGAGTCCAAGGGCCATGTGCCCCAAGTCAGGCACCTGATGTCCCCTGAGCTAAACTAGAGTCTCCCACTCAATGATTCTCTCAACCTACCAGGGGTCCCTGAAGAAGGGCCATGACCCTGGGTGCACCTCCCAAGGTCAAGCTGCACAGCCTATGTGTGTGGTTAGTCCTGTAGGCTGCACGAGTTGGATTCCCTTGGGCTGTCTCAGATTATCCCACCACACCGTGTCCAGCCAGGGAGTTTCCACCCTGGCTGCTACGTCATCCTCCACTATTGTGGGCCCCATCTATCTCAATGCTGCAGGCTACCTAAGACCACATGTCTAAGGAAATTAGTATTCCTTCTAGAGTATTTGCTTTGCAAATCTTTATAGGTTAGGCAGGGTGAAACCCTGAGCCTCAGAGGTGGGACAGTGAGCTGCCAGGCGGAAGGAAGGGCTCTGCTGGTGAACACCCATGAGGATTTCAGAAAAGGGCTCTGAGTTTGCATCCCATCTCTGCCACTTACTGCTTATATGCCCTCAGGGAAATTGTACCTCTACGAGCTTCAGTTCCCAATTTGTAAGATATTATCAGTGTATTATTACTGTGAGTGTTGTACAGTAATTAGGTCAGGGAATACATTTGGCACAGATGCTACGGTGTTTTTGTTTAAAAGCTAGAATAACCAGAGATTTAAGGGAAGCAGTGGGAGGGTGGCACAGCTGCCCAGCACTGCAGAGCTCCCCTTTCTGGGTGAATCCATGACGTGACTCCAAGGGCATCCTGATGAGGACACTCATTAGCCAGGAAGGTGTCAAAACTCTGCTTTCAGAGGAAGCACAACTGATACCCATTTTCCTCAAGGAAGGGTCTTAACCACTGAGGCTCATGTACACTTAGAGCCACTCATCTCCCCCGCGGTAAAAAGTGGTGATCCAACGGGAGGGGTTTCTGTCAGAGCTACTGACACAGTTGTGAATCGTCCAAGTGACTGTGCAGCTGTGCCGTCGTCTTCCCCCGGAGCCCTCTCAACAGAAGAGGGCAGAGCTGTTTGCCTAGGCACACTCCTCCCTGGAACACAGTCAAGGCTGGAGCAACCACAGAAAGGGCTCCACAGGCCCATCCCCTTTAACTTCAAGTCAGGGCAGAAGTTCCTCTGCTAATCTCAGAGAAGAGCCTGTTTTGTTAAGTGTGGCACCCCTAAACACACCACAATTTAAGGAGAAATGAACACATGTTTCCTAGCAAAGTGAGGGGCCAAGGAGGGATGAGAGTAAGTCTCAAAAAAAGAAAGGCACAGCACCCAGGTTCTCATTGTCGACTTTAATGCCACGTGAGGGCACGGCGGCTCCATGCACCAAAGTGCTCACAGACAGTAATGGAAGAACACAGGAAGTGTTTACTGTGTACAGAAACCCAACACCATACAGAAGACAATGCATTTGGGGACCTCCCACACTCCAGAGGCAACTGCCTGTTACTACACCCAGTCTTTGTTCCCACCTCCTCCAGCCCCCTGCCAACCCACCCTTCCCCCCATTAACATGTATACATATATGTTTCTTCCAGGGTTCCAAAAAGTGCTTCTCCCACCCCAGCTCCCAGTACTCTGCCTCTGATGAATAAAGTCTCTCTCAAGGATCATGCATGAGGCAGGGACCACCTTCCTGAAAGAGCCCCAGCAAAATGGTGCCCAAGAAAGCTTAATCACTTATATCAGAATTAGGAGGTATGCAGCAGGATGATATTTGAAATTCTAACCAGGATCAAAATGCTCAGTGGGAATGGTGTTTGTTCTGTTGTGTATCAACCTCTTTAGGATCCAGCTGAGACCATGGAACCTGAGGCGCACCCCCACCCACTTTGTAGCTTGCAAATAAATGTCAATTTCCTAGTCCTCCAATGAGCAACCCAGGACAGGAACATTGTTAACACCTGACTAGCTTGAGGCACAAGGCTCAGGCTGCTCCCAGAACATCCTAAACTCCAGGAAGAAAGAATGGAAGCTTTTCGGAGCACAGCTGACTGCTTTCCAAACAGTAAACACTGGACAGCCTGATGAACTTACTTTACCTACTAGAGGTAAAGTAAGGATGGTATCGATTCTTCTATTTAGAACGTTACCCACAGAATTCCTCTACTGGTGTGATATAATGTATTTCATGTGGTTTTATTTCCATCTTTTTTGTTGCCATTAGTCCTATCCCCTAAAACTTTCACCTCCCCAATCAGTGAGCATGGAACCTGGGAGAAAAGGTGCTCAAAATCAAAAGGGAAGAAGCTCCAGAGGCAGGCGCTTTGACCCATCGATAACCACTGGGCTGTCTCACAGCAGGATGAATCTAGTCCCTTGTCAGGATGAGGGAGAAGCATTCAAGCTTTGGAACCTTCCGTCCTGATCCAACCCTTCTAACACTCTGGGCTGACCATTTAGAGGTAAAAAGGGATCTGACGGGGAGAAGCCACTTCCTCAGAGACAACCTGCGTTTGGAGGGCACTGCCACAGCCCGCTACATCCAAAAGCACTTTGAAGACTGGTCTCGGCTTCTTAGAAGGGCCAAATCGGGCCACTGAATTCTTTGACTCCATTTAGAAGGGGCTCTAAGCTGGATACCAGTGTCCCTGCTCTTCCTGGTCTACTGGCTGAGAACCTCACTTCCCCACAGATGGCACAGAGCACACTACCTTGAGGACATCACAGGGGGACAGAGAAACAGGGGTGTCTCTAGTGAGAAGCACAGGGGCAGCATCCCTGTAGCCCCAAGAAAGTCTTCCAGAGCCTGTGTTTGAACAAACCTGCGTTTCCTCAAATACCAGCCACTCCCAGTCCTACATGTACGGGCTCTAAAAAACCAAGCACTGTGATGTGCTGTTCTGGGGGTAGGAGGAGAAGGGGCATCAAGGCCAGATTACTGAAAGCAATGGGCTTAATTATGTGCTCTCTATTCACACTCACTTTCTCCTGAACAGCTTGCCTCAGTGTCTGTCAAAACATGAACTTGTAATAGGCAGTTACACCAATCAGAGCAACTTAAATGAAAGACTTTACTGTTAGAACAAGGCAAGAGCCATGCTGTTGGGCTAAAGCTGAAGCAGGGACATCAGTTCCAGGAAAGCACATCCATTGTGGATGAGAACAGTAGGGAGAACACATATCTCGGAACCAGCACAACTAACTGTACTTTCCTTAGATCCCAGTCTATACCTCTGCTCCCCTCATACAAGAATACAATACAAGAGTGTAAAAACATACCCTGGAATCTCCGTTCCCACACAAGGGTCAGGAGGTCATTGCCCCAGGAAGGAATTCAGCCAAGGTCCCAGGGTTGGACCTTCTCTTCCTCAGAAGGATGAAGACACTTTCGGTTGCTTCTTCCCTACCTCGCCAATCTGTTCTTGTAAGGCTGAGACCAGTGAGGCTGTCCTCGCCAGCTTTTCACACCTAAAAAAACCTCCCTATGTGAACAGCTGGAAATGGTAAAGTACGACATGAATACAGGGAGAAGCCCTTACTGCATGCAGCACACAAGTGTCACATTGTCATTACTGGTGCTGTAGTCTTCCTCTAGGAGATGCATGTCCACACCCTGACTAGCTGCCCAGGCTACACATAAAGTAAGAAGAAAATGCAGTGGGAGCAGACCCTTGCAGACCGTTCTCTCTCTGAAATGTTAGCAGTAAAACATAACAGCTGTCTTCCTACAGCTCCAGGGATAGCTGTGCCTCTCACCCAGCCTTTTCTTTACTTCTTCAGGACAGACTCTCTACTAGAAGCAGAATTTTAGTGGGATAAAGCAAGGTTTAAGAAGAGGAAGGGAAAAGAGGGAGATATAAGGGGATTAAATGGTAACAGAAACAAATACAATAAAGATTAAATTAAAAAAAAAAAAAGCCCTGGCTGGTGTCAGTGGATTGAGTGCTGGCCTGCAAACCAAAAAGTAACTGGTTCAATTCCCAGTCAGTGCACATGCTGGGTTGTCTGCCAGGTCCCCAGTAGGGGGCGCAGGAGAGGCAACCACACACTGATGTTTCTCTCCCTTTCTTTCTCCCTCCCTCCCCCCTCTCTAAAAATAAATAAAATCTTTTTTTAAAAAAGAGGGGGTGGTTCCACTATGTTGTATAGCTGAAACTAACACAAAATAATATAGAATGTAAACTGTATTGAAAAAAAATAGTCATGGGGATCTAAAGTACAGCATAGCACATATAGTCAATAATATTGTAATAACTATGGTGTTATATGGGTACTTTGTAAGGTAGGTAAATGTCTAACTACTATGCTATACATCTGAAATTGATTTAATATTGCATGTCAACTGTAATTGAAAAATAAAAAGAATTTTTTTTTCTAAAAAGAGGGGGTCCCCATCAAGGAGGTTCATCACAAACTGGATCCTGACAGATGAAACAGCAGCCAAGGGGGTATTCTGGGCCTCCAGGAAGGATGTTACATCTCAAGGATAGCAGATGTAGATATCTGTTACCTTGTGCCTCTGAAATTTATAAGCCAGCCCTCTGAGAGGATAACCCTTCACGCAAGAAAGGTTGGTGGAACATAGGAGAAGCTGAGGCCCAAAGCAGGGCTGTAAACATTGTGCTTTTCTAAGGCCAACCTGGTATATGTTTTGGCAATTATAGTTACATCTCCAAAAAGTGGTGAATATGTTTCATGAGAAAAAGAGTCTTTCACATCTTAAAACAAAGCATAGAACTATTCTTGGGGAAGAGGGAGAGGAGACACTCCCTCAGCCAGGGACTGTGGAGTGGCTACTTGGATAGATCCCCCATCATGTTCTATGTTTAAACCCATACACTGAGCACAAGGAAGGAACAAGGAAGGAATGCCTGAACAGGGTTCAGGAAGTGATTATACCTAAATTATTTTGGTAATGTGATTCTAAAAAGGGCAGACACTCTCTTGCAAGGTCAAGAGAGTGACAAAACCTCTCTGTACTTCCTAGCCGAGCCCTAGCTAGCCAGACCCCACTGGCCTCAGGAAAAGACTGTCGTGTCTGGAGGAAAGGCCAGGTGAGTGCAAGTACCAAGTCCCCACGGGCCACAGCCCTAAGCCTGACCCCAAGGAACGGCAGGGGAGACTAACGCTGCTGCACCTCCGCCCACTGGAGCTGTGCCTCTGGACTCAGTCTTCCCCTCTGTCAGCTCTGAGCAATCAGTAGCCCTTCTAGGAATCGGACTCCCAGAGCCACTAAGGGGAAAGGACACCTTCCCTGAAGGGACTCTATTCCCTACTCAGACTACTCACCACCATGTGATCTTGAACTCATAGATGGGGCGCTTGCAGTAGTAGTGGTTGATGAGGTGTTTGTCACACACACCAATGCACTGGTGGTCCACGATGAGGCCCTGGGCTGAGAGGTCTGTGACCAGGCAGTGCAGCAGGTCATAAACATCAGCCACAGCCTCCCAGGGCCCAAAAGACACATCCACTTCACAGTGGTGCTCAAACAGCTGCCCGTCACTCTCGCTCCGCTCAAAGCGCAGAGAGTTGAGAAGTGGACACTCATAGGGGGTGATGGGCATCTCCTCCTTGAAGACACAGACCTTGAGCTTGGCAAAGCGGGCCTTCCGCTGTACTGCGCGCAGCCGGGCAATCTCCACAATCCGCTCCAAATGGTCTATGGGGTTGAACACAGCAGCCATCACTGTGATGGGGGTTGGCAGACGGGGAGTGGGGCAAGGCAGGGGGAAGGCACAGACAGGCCAAGTGACAGCAGGATCCAAGAGGGAAGAGACAGATTCCTGGGGGAAGGGACTCTGTGGGCCTATGCAGGATAAAGACTTAAAGAGGGATCATGGTTCTTCACCACACAAGGAAACCGAGGGGACAGATGGGGACTGTTTGTTTCAAATGTGATTTGACGACCATCGCAGGCAAGGAAAGCCCTCCTGAACCTGTATCTTCCCAGTGTGACCAAGAGGGAAGGACAGAAAGGGAGTGGGATTTTCTCCCTTCTTGAGTAATACATGTGAACCCTGGACTCACTTGTTCTGGTGGAGAGCTAGGCACTGACAGATGTCTTGCGATCCTCCTTCCCCTCCCCTTACTGTTCTGGTCAGCTGACCCCTCACCTTTGTAATAGGGCATGAGCCCCAGAAAGGCTTGGCGCACTTTCTCCCCCTTCAGTGGCTGCATGTTCTCCAGCTGCTCCAAGAGGGGCCCGATGGCGTAGTATTGGGCCTCTTTGTACACGGCCCGCACACGTTCCCGGGGCGGCAGGTCCCCCGAGCGCAGGAAATTCAGCACATCTCTGAGCAGGAAGAAAAGAGTGTTGGTGAGAAACAGCTAAGGGAACTGGGCAGCGCCACATAGTGGTTAGAGCACAGAACCTGGAACCAGAATGCCAGCCATGTAGCCTTAGGTAAGTAAACTTAACCTTTCTGTGCCTGGATTTTCTCATCTGTAAAATGGGGGAAAATAAGAAAACTACTCCATAATGTTAGCAGGATTAAATGAACTAATATATAAAAAGTGCTTAGAAAATACCTGGCACAGAGTAAGTCCTCCGTAAGTGTTAATAGTTCTTTTTAGTTGTATCATTATTATAATTACAATTATTACTAGGTATATTCTGTATTATTATTAAGTGTATATAGGAATAATGAAAAGACATTACTAGCCTCTTAATACACAGGGTGGGGCAAAAGTAGGTTTACAATTTTGAGGTTATACAATTGTAGGTTATACAATTTTGTATAAACTATATACAAAACACAGTTTATTCTTGTGTTATTATTTATCATTGTATTATTTTCTATACAAACCATTGTAAACCTACTTTTGCCCCACCCTGTATATATTTTAATTGAGGTAAGTAATATTCAATAAATGGATGGACATACTCATACAATTACCACCTAGCTCAAGATACAGAACATTTCCATCTCCTTCCATTTTCCTCGTGCCTCTTCCCAGTCACTTTTTCAGAGGCAACTACTTTACTGATTCATTTTGCCTTTTTTTTTTTTTATTGATTTAAGAGAACACCAATTTGTTGTTGCACTTACTTATGCATTCCTTGGTTGATTCTTATATGTGCTCTGACCAGAGATTGAACCCACAATCTTGGCCTAGTGGGATGATTCTCTAACCAACTGAGCTGCCTGGCCAGGGCTGTTTTGTCTCCTCTTGAAATTCATATAAATAGAATCACACAGTATGTTCTCTTTTGTGTCTGGCTTCTTTCCCTCAACCTAATATTTTTGATATTTATCTTGTGTGTAATAGTAGTTTGTTGCTTTGTATTGCTAAGCAGCATACCATTATATGGATATATGTACTATAACTTATTTACCCATTCTCCTGCTAATGGACATTAGGACAATCTGGGGCTCTTAGGAGTAAAGCTGTGATAAACATTCCTTTATAAGACTTGCTGTGAACACATGCACATTTCTCCTAGGTAAATATTAGTAGAATTGTTCGGTCATGGTGATGTTTAACAAAGTGACTGTAGTGTTTTACATTCCCACTAGCAAGGTTGAAGACTTCCACATCTTCTACAAATCTGTGCCATTACTATTATTCTGTAGCTATATAGAGATCAAATGCCTGAAACTAACATCTGAAAAATTGGTTCCAGGAGTGAATAAAATCACATTCCGCATTTTCTTTTAAAAAAAAATCAGTTCTTTCCCTGGCTGTTGTGGCTCAGTGGATTGAGTGCCAGCCTGGGAACCAAAGGGTCGCTGGTTCGATTCCCAGTCTAGGGCACGTGCTTGGGTTGCAGGCCAGGTCCCCAGTAGAGGGTGCTCAAGTGGCATCCACACATTGATGTTTCCCTCTCTTCCACCCTCCCCCCCCTCTAAAATAAATAAATAGAATCTTTAAAAAATTAAATTAAATTAGAAATTCAGTTCTTTCAATTCTCTTTTCAGATTCTTTAGTGCTAAGAATAATCAGATCCATCAATGGATGGTGTGGGAAGGGCATTTCTGTAAGGATATGTGAGTAAACACTAAGCTGTTACCTCTATAGTTAGTCTATGACCATAATGCAACACCAGCTAACACTCACTTAGTATTAATTTGTGTCAGCTAGTATTTATGTGTTATCCCACTGAATCCTTTCAATAATATGGAGTAAGTGCTATCTTGTATCCATTTTATGAGAGAAATGTGGGACTCAAAGAGCTTAAGGAATATCCTTGCTCAAGGAGCCACAGTTAGCCTGCGCATGTAGACACAGTCCAGACTGTAGTCCAAAGAGCTCTTCACGGATCACAATGGGAAACTGCCCCAGTGGAGGCCCGAGCAGCCTCTGTGGTGGATGCTGGGGGCCAGCAGAGAAATTTACTTCACCAAATGCCCTAAATTCCTATTTTACTTTATCTGAGTCCTTCACCAATTTCATCTGCTGATGATGAATCATAGGCCACTGGAGCCCAGCCGTCTGAGGATAAATGCCACAATATCCTGCTTTCTGCCCCACACCCTCGCCTGGCTCAGCCACTCTCCAACTACAGCCACCTGAGCAAGGGCACGTCAGCTTAAAGCCAAACCCTATTCTGCCTCCCCACAATCCCTTCCGAAATTGGTCCTCTAGGATCTTAAGCAAAGCTTGGTAAATTCTGAAAAACATACCCTCAAGGCAAGGCCCAGCCAGGAGTGTTGTGGAAGCTGCCAGCTGGGGCCAGCACTTTCCTCCCCCCAAACAGCCTGCAAACAAAAACCTTTTTATAGCTCTGCAGGGCGATGTGACACTTTGTTTTCTCAGCACTGGAGGCAGCTGACAACCCAATGGGGAAACCCAGATTCAAAGCAAATTATTTGACCTGAGGTTCCTTTGGAGGATAAAAATGACCCTTCTCCCAATGTGGAAAATCTTACTTGGAGGCCATCGCAGAGGTGTAGTAATTGGAGAGCCTCTGCCTCCCTGGTCATTTTGTTCAAGGTCAAGGACCATGTTCATTCTCTACTCATCTCCAAAGTTAGACTGAAGGGGAAAAGAGCTTCAGCCTATACTCTGGAAGAACCTGGCCAGGGGTCACACCACAGCTCTTTATCTCATCCACATAACAGGCTGCAAGGCAGCTGTAATTATTTCTCATTCAAGGAATGAGACAAGGAACAAGCAAGGAAACTGAAATAAAAAGTCTTTACATTGTGTATGGGTAAGGTTGTCAGAAGTCCTTTCTTGGGAAAGGCTATCTATTTTTTGAGATTCTGTCTTTCCATGTTTTAGTGTTAAAATGACAGTAATAACTGAAGGTTGTTTTGGTTTTTTTAAGACTTTCCTTGGCAATATTAAAGGATGGCAACCCCATGCTGGCCCTTCCCTCACCTTTGTTGTCTCTTTGTTTTAAACTGTTGAAGGAGGTCTGGGAACCTCTGCCACACACACCACACCTCCTCCCTAACGGCAATGCTGAGTCCAGAATCTGACCTGAGGGTACTCTCTGAGAAGTTGTTTTGGAACTCCCCCACCTCTAGGTGGGATCACACCTACTCCTTTCCACAAAGACTGGTAACGTTACAGTCTTAAATTACATAGGGTAGAAGCAGTTTCATCACATTCAGCCAGTATGTATTACCCGGGATTTCTCCAGATGTCCTTGTCTCCTCTGGAAAAGAAACTAAACATTTCGATCCAATTTATCAGGCACATTTGTTAAATTCTGTCTGTATGTTATCTCCTCTTCAGGTACTATGGAAGATACTACAGCCCCATGCCCAAGCCCAGGCCACTCACTTGCTAGGACTACAAAGATGAGCGTAGAGGGAGAAACATACCCAAAGTGTGTGCCATCCCGATCAATGAAGTACCGGCCCTCAGCGTCGGTGGGGATGTAATGACGCCCACTGAACATGGCTGCCAGCATGGTGTCTTCATAGCGCCGCAGGGTGGACAGGCGTGTGGTGAAGTGAGCTCCTCCGATGTTAAGGGGAACAACCTCAGGAAACTGGAAAAAAACAGCTGCATGTCAGCCAGAGAAGAAAAATAAGAGCCAGGCTGCTCCGTCTGCAGTCTTCTTTGGTCTGATTAAAGCCTCACCATTCACTCAGTCACTCAAAACCAAAACCCAGGAGTCTTTCCGAACCCTCTTCTCTCTCCTCCCTTTCCCCACATTCACCAGTGGCCACGTCCTATGAATCCCCCACCCGGATAGTTCCTAAATCAGGTCTCTCCACCCCAATCCTACTATCTCTGCTCTATAGTTCAAAGCCTTCATTCACTTGTCCTCCTTTCACTTCCTGAATTTTCCACTTTTTATGCCCTTGGTCATGCTGTCTTCTCTGTACAAAATGCTCATACCACTCTCTCTTCGTCCATCTAGCAAACACAAGCGCCCTCTCAGGTGGTGCACATTGTTCACTGCACAAGGGTGCCTAGATGAGAGGGATCTGCTAGCCCAGATGTGTGCCCGTTTTCTAATTCACACCAAGGCACCATATAGGTTAACAGCATCCATTCATTCAAAGAGTTTCTATTCAAGTTCCACTACTCTGAGCATTTCTGCTCTGTTGTCCCTTGCCAGCTCCCAAGATGGAGTTAACTAAACACTCCCTCCACTGTGCCTAACACAATACATTGGTGGTTATTTTCTTCTGTCTGCCCAACCTCCTAGACCCCAAGCTTCCCAAGGAAAGGGATGACATCTTGTTCACCAATCATGAGGCCGTCCACAGCAGGGCTCATGGATGTTTGTAGAATAATTCCTTCTTAATCTGGAGTTAGATTAATCCCCAGTCCAGCTAAGGTTCTGGAGGCAAGGGCAGGGTGAAGAATGGGGAATGAAGGAACAGATTTATCCTGAGAAGCTCTAGGTTCTCCCTAAAATGCTTGGGACCTTTTCTGTTTTTTATTTTTCCTTTTTTGACATCTGTCACTCCTTGTGATTTTGAAAGAAACAAGGCCTGTTCTCTCTAATTTTCCAATTCTTCTCCTACAGATCAAATAAAAATTTGTCCCAGTGCATACTTTTCTATATTACAACATCTCAGTGGCTCCAGTGAGAGTCTATGTATATTCATCTAGTAAGCCATTTTACCCAACTTTCAAATTCTTTGTGCATAAAGTAGGGTCAATATACATTACCTAAAAGTTACCCAGGACCTTGTGTAGTGCCTGACTCAAATAGTCATTGAATGAATGAATGAAATAGATAAGTATTTACAGTTCCATGTATATATGTATTGTTACTCCTCTGCACCCACAGGACAGGAAATGCCTTCTGCTTGTCTACAGCTCCTCTAAAACTATTCTATGTGCATACCAAGGACTCAAATATTGTTTGGGGATAACTCTACATTTCATTTAAACCTTTCCCAAGGATACCTCATACCCATACAGATCCAAGTGCTTGCTCCATATTGAGTTTTGCTCATTTTCCCAAGTGCCCCATGATATTAACTGTATGAACTTCTAACCCCCAGATAACACCATCTGCTTCCCCAAAGCCTCACCCAGCCCTGCCCTGCCCTGCCCTGCCCCTCTGGGGCTCGTCCATTCTCCCATCTCTACACATCACATGTTCCCCTATCTGGCACTACCTTAGCTCTTCCTTCCTAGTCTATCTGCGGTGCCCTAAGCACCCCACTTTCCCTCCTCTTTCCCCTTCTCTTAAGGGTCATTTCAGGTGTTAATATGATACTGTCATACACATTAAGACGAGTGGAAGCCACCATGCATCACAGCATAGCAGCTAGTGAGGGAAAGCCAGGGAGTTGTCGGGTGTGTTTGGACACATCTACCAATTGGCCTGCTTCTTACCTGTACACAGTCCCTTACTCCACTCTGAGAGCAGCTCGAGATCAGGTTTGGGTAACCACCAAGGCCTCTTGGATTTTCTAGAAGGCACTATCATGTCTTGGGGCTCCAAGTTATCCTTTCCACGAAGTAAATCAACCTTGTAGGTAGTGAGTACTGAATGGAGGGGGTTTTGGGGCCAGGTGACCTCTGGGGCAGGGAAGAGACACCTGGTGCATTTTACGATGGGGAGGGGGCTGGAGAGCAGGGGAGCCCAGCTCCTCCGGCGCCGCCCTCAGCCAGACCCTTGATCTCCAAACCCAGCTGTGCTTACCTCCCAAGGTCAGTTCCGCCCAGCACCTACTTTTCCCTCTGCGCCCCTTCCCACGCCCCCCGCCTCGGCCCAGGTACCTCTTGGGGCAGCAGGGGCAGCGCGTGCCCCGCCTGCGTGGCCGTCGGGGTGGCCGGCTCCAAAAAGTCGTCTTCGGCGTCGGAGCTGGACATGGCACCGTCCGGACGACGGCTGTCTGGCTCCCGCCCCGTGACTACCACCATCCCTCTGGCTCTGGGCAGTGGGCGCGGCTTCAGGCAGGCGGGCAACAGACCCGGCGGCACTAGCTTGGAGCACCGCCTGGCATGACGCGGGCGGCCACGGGAGCGGGGGTCGGGTGGGGGGGCTGAGAGAGCAGCAGCAGTGTGCTGAAAGCCGCCCCGCCCTCAGCCCACGAGACAGGATAGCCCGGCCACCGCTGGGATCGCCGGCCGGGCCTGACACGGCTGCCTCCCGCTACTGGCCGAGCCCCCGCTTGCCCCGCCCCTGATTGGCAAGAAGCTCGCCCAGTCCTCAAGCAGGCAATGCGGTCAGCCTGCGCCTGAGTGGCCACTGGAGCCGGCCTGGTTTGCTGCCCTGCTCTGATTGGACTTCTGACCAGCGGATACGCCCTCTCCTCCCCTAACAGTGGTACCCCAAGCTGTGGGGGTGCGGGGGAGGAGGGTACCATGTCTAAGTGAGGCCTCCTGGTTAGCGGTGAGGGTAGCTCTCTCTGTAACCTAGGGACTTTATTTTCTTTACTCTGCCCTTTTATTTATTTTTTATTTTTTATTTTTTTTCCCTTTGACTCAAACTGGTCTCACTTAGCCCCTGACCCACCTACCTCCTTCTCCTTGCTTTATCATTAGGCCTCAGGACAATGAGGTTCTGGTCGGCATCCAGTGCTCCTAGAAACAAAGCCTTGGTTCTATTGACTGCAGAGACAGTTTCCCAATCTAGAGGTAATATCTAGGCCTCAGCTGTGTTTCAGCTCCACAACACCCCACCAATCCAACCCTTGCAAACCAGATGAAGCAATGCCATGGCTGACCTCAAGACCAGATGTGCAATGTTCAACTATGCCTCTATCCTAGTTGCTCACCAATCCCTAGAGACCACGACCCTGACCATGACCCTAACTTATCTCTCTTAGTCACCATGATTAATGATGCCCCCAACCCCCTGTATACCCCCATTCCCTGGAAGTCATAGGGGAATCCAGGTCTTTAAGCATTATCTACCTGTGACTCTGGGCATGGTGCCATCTCCTTAACAAATACCTGTTTTCTTGGCTTCAAACTCCTGTTCATTTCTTGCTGGGCTCTGATGCTCACAGGGAAACAAGCCCCTTCAGGTAACTTCAGTAACTTGAGATGTGGGAGGGCTCAAGAGGTAATGGTTGGTCTGTCTCCAGGGCAGCGGGTCCTGTGCCTCCTCAGTCGTGGAAGGCCAGGGAAATAGGGGTGGAGACGGGTGGGTCTTCAACAGAGGTGATGGGGAGGATGGCTGAGGTCATTGAGTTTGTAAGAGAGGAAGGACAGCACTGGGACATAGGCTGCCCCTCCTTAAGCCTCAGTAAAACCTGGGTTTCCTGTTTTTCTGGATTGCAGGAATCTGAAAAAGAAACCTCAAAATAGGGGCAATTGAATTCAATTAAGAATGACAGTGAGTCTCCATGGGCTCCCTGCCAGCTCTCTCATTGGGCACCTGGACACACAGATGGCGGTGGGTCCTGCACAAAGAAGCTCAAGCTGATGAGGAGGAGTCCAGTCTGAACCCATATATCTGTCTGCAGCCTTGGACACTGTGTCCACTGATACAGCTGGGTCAGCTCACAACTCTCCTGGGGCTCAAGGTTTTAGCTCCCTCAAACCATTTTTACACCCAGTCCCCCATCTGATTCTCACACTGTTGTGACAGAAAAGGAAAATGAGGCCTAGAGGATTAGATCAGCATCTGGAAGGCCAGTAATGGGCCAGAGTCACAGCACTTCCTCTGTTGCACCAATCACCCTCCCAGCTGTAGGTGCTTCCTTGGTTAGTGTGTTCTCCAATGTTAATTGCATCAAAATTACTGCAGGGGACCTTGTTAAAATGCAGATTCCCAGCCCCACTTCCAGGGAATCTGATTTGGTAGGTCTGAGGCATAGCCCTTGAATTTGCATTCCTAACAAACTCCTAGGTAGTTCTGAACCTGCGGGTCCTTGAACCACACTCTGAGTAGCACCACCTTGGCCCCCAGACAACTTCTCTCTATCGCTACCTGATCCAGTCCTTCTCAAAAACATCTATAACAACAACAACAACAACAAATCTATAACAAAATTTCCTTTCCATCCTATTAGTTAGGATATTTCAGCTACGACAGAAACCTCAACCAAAAGTGGCTTCAATAATAAAAGACTTTTATTATCTTACATAAAAAGTCTGAGTAGATCCTTGTTTGGTTCATTAAGTAACTTAACAAGAAGTTACCTGGACCAGCTTCCTTCCGTTTATCCACTCTGCCAGATGGCCTCTCCTTCCCTAGGAATCCATATGAAAAAACCACAGGACTAAGGGCTATCGGGGGAACATTTATTTCAACACCTTAAAGCAAGGCTGTATACAGAAAATGAGAAGGGAGCCCAGAGGCTCAGGAGATAGGAAAATCCATGTGTAAATAGTTTTAGGTTGCTGAATGTGTTGGAGTTTTCATCTTCTATTTCTGCTGAGAATTTCCTTCAGGAATGTAGTTTCCCAGTTGGTTGTGTTTACACGGTGGGGAGAAATCCAAGGTCAGCAGCCTGGAATGAGGACTTGGTGAGTGAGTAGGAAGGGGCTGGAGCAGGCTTTCTGGGAAAGCAGGGCAGTTTGCTGGCAGCTGCTATGGCCACCCCCAGTGGAATGACTTCCAGGCCAGTTCACATGAGGCCTGCAGGGAACGGTCAGTGAGCCTTTGAGGGAGGGATTGTCCATGCAGACGTGGCAGCTGCTCTCTGAACACAGGCAGTTTTAGCTCAGGGATTACTTTTCTAAGAGTCAACTGAATAAATAGTTCTATAGGCATCAAGCCCTGAGATTCATAAACTGGATTCTATTTTCAATGCCTTCTCAAAGAAAAGAACTTTTGAATGCTGACAAATCTGCAAAGTACTCATTAAGCTACTGAATGTTCTCTCCTGATTCTAATTAATTGAATGAATAATTTAACAAAAATAAAGGAAATGAAAGCAGGAAAAAAACTATGCACCTTCTTTTCCACATTACCTTCTTTACATTTTAATTCTTATTTAAGTATTTTAGACATATAAAAGCAATTGTAAATACATTAAGTTAAAACCAATTTATTCAGAAACTGGGGAGAATACCAGTCAAGGTGGCCAAGTAAGTAAATGCTGTGCTCACCTCCTCCCACAACCACATCAAATTACAATTAAACTACAGAACAACCATCATTAAGAACCACCTGAAGACTAGCTGAACAAAAATCCTATAACTAAGGGTATATAGAGGAAGCCATGTGAAGACTGGTAGGAGGGGCAGAGATGGTGAAGGAGCTGATCCCACACCCACATGTGGTGGTTAAAAATGGGAGGGATATCTCAGTCTCAGAGGCTCCTCCTGAGGAGTGAGGGGTCCTGTCTTCATAGTGAGCTCCGCAGCCCAGGATTCCAGTGCTGGGAATAGAAGTCTCCATAACTTCCAGCTGTGAAACCTAGCAGGGATTACGGCTGAGTGAGATAGAGATTTCTGGAGTCTTAGGTATTCCTCTTAAAGGTCCCAAGCACAAACTTGATGGACTTACTCGATCTGAGCTCCAGGACTGAGGCAGCCCCTTGAAAGGCCCCAGGGATATACAAGGAGGAATTAAATTGTCTGGCTTCAGGACAAGGACAGGAGGGGCAGCATTCTCCCAGACAGAAGTGGTGGCAGTTGCCATCATTCCTTTGTTGAACCCTCCCCCCAGCTAGCCTACAGGCACAGGCAGATGCCAAATCTGAGTCTCCATCAACCTGGCTAACACCATTTGCCCTACCCTGGTGATTCCCTAAGACCCTGCTCTGCCCAACTTGCAGGCCCACTCAAACTGCTTCTAGAGGCTATTCCATGCAAATGGTACTGTGGAGTTTTCTAAAATCTCTCAAAGGTTCAAAAACCCCAAACAAACAGTGTCTGTCCTCAGTATGCCCTGAACCTCTTGCTAAGCAGCCCCAAGCCTGGCACTAGTGGCAACCAGCCTCAGTTTGCATCTTAGCTTCTCCCAGACTCCTCCAAACAGAGCACAAGTAGAAACCATCTTCAGATAACTTTGTAGCTCATATCTGGTGGTCCTGGGCCAGGCACAGACAGCAGCTGACCTTGGCCTGCACCAGAGCCCATTCCAAAAGGCCTCAGAACCATCATACCTGGTGGCCACACCACACCAGAGCCAAACCACCTCCACAAACAACACACCCAAAGGGTGGACTTGGAAGGCACCAGAGGCCTGATAAATGGAATCCTGCTCTATGGGGTCAGCCCCAGCACAACGGCTCCTCCACTATAGTCATGGCCAGGCCTTATAGCAATCAGCTTTAGGGTCAATCCCTCCCATTGAAATTCCAACAACAACCAAAGTTCAACTACAATAAAAAGGCACATACCAGGTCACACCTGGAGCAGCTGGCTCACGTGACCAGGAGATGTGCCACTGGGCCCCACAGGACACTGACTATACTATCAAGACTAGTACACATAGTAAGTATACATAATATATAGAAACAGACACAGAGAACCAGCCAAAATGAGAAGAAAAAGAAACCTGCCCCAAATGAAAGAACAGAATGAAACTCCAGAAAATCAACTAAACAGAATGAAGACAAGCGATCTATCAGATGCTGTGTTCAATATACTCATTATAAGGATGCTTAAAGAATTTAGGGGAAGAGTAAATGAAGTCAGTGAGAACCTTAACAAAGAGATAGAAAACAGATGGAGATACAAAACATAAAAGAGAACCAATCAGAAATGAAGAATACAGTAACTGAAATGAAGACTACATTAGAGGAAATAAACAGTTTATTAGATGAAGCAGAGGACTGAATAAGTTATTTGGAAGATAACATAGTGGAAAACACACAAATGAACAACAAAAAAGGAAAAAGAATGAAAAAAAATGGGGATTGTTTAAGGAGCCTCTGGGGCATCATCAAGTATAACAACATTTACATCATAGGGGTACCAGAAGAAGAAGAGAAAGAACAAAGAATTGAGAACCTATTTGAAGAATTAATGATGAAAAACTTTTCTAACCTGGTGAGGAAAATAGACATTCAATTCCAGGAAGTGCAGAGTCTCAAACAAGATGAACCCAAAGAGGCCAATAACAAGACACATCATAATTGTAACACCAAAATTTAAACACAAAGAAAGAATTTTAAAAGTGGCAAGAGAAAATCAGTTAGTTATGTACAAGGGAGCTCC